TGAGTGTGTGTGTGAGAGTGTGTGAGTGTGTGTGTGTGTGTGTGTGAGAGAGAGTGTGTGTGTGTGAGAGTGTGTGTGAGTGTGTGTGTGCTTATGTATTTATCAGGGTTTTTATAGTTAACAAACATTTAAACGGGTTAAAAATCTTAATTTAAATAAGATTAAATTAAATAAACTGAAATAAAATAACATTCTCATTTTAGTTTAACTTGATGCACTAAAATAACTAAAACTGAAATATAAATAAATAAATAAATACTAAATATATGTACATGTTTAAAAAAAACTTAACTATAATAAACCTAATAAATACACGCGTATTTATTTATTATGTATTTACACACATATTTATGTGTGTATAATATTACTATTGCTAAACAATTTTAAAAAGTTCACATAAAAAATCTCAACTAAATAAAATTAAATGACATAAACTGAAATAAAAGAAAATTCTCATTTTAGTTTAACTTGATGTACTAAAATAACTAAAACTGAAATATAAATAAATAAATAAATAAATACTATATGTACATGTTTAAAAAAAACTATGTGTGTAAACCCAGTGATCTGTATGAATAGAATCATTATATTCTGGTAATATACTCTGCTGGATATTAAGCGTCCCTAACTAAGCAAGGAACCAAAACTCCATCGTTGACAGAAATGGAGAAGAAACCTTGGGAGAAACCAGCAGTTCAGTTCCAGGCTGCAGCAAAGTCAGATTGTGCGGAGGACTGTGAGTTTCTGCTGTGTTTCTGTGCAGGTTTTGCAGACGCTGAGCTGTTCGAGGTGAATGCAGAATGGCCAGCGCAGAGAGTTCAGCGTCATCAGCAGAGAACGGAGAGAACGGCAGCGGCGCTCAGGACGGCACGTTCGAGTGCAACATCTGTCTGGACACGTCCAAAGACGCCGTCATCAGTCTGTGCGGACATCTCTTCTGGTGAGACCTGATCGACGCGTGTAAGTCTCTCGTGAAGTGCTGGGTAATAACTGCTCTGTTTTCTCTCTCCCGTCTCCTCCTAGCTGGCCGTGTCTGCATCAGGTGAGTGTTCAGTAATCGCTCGAGATCACGTGACGTGACCGTTGCATGATTCACTTAACCGTGTCTCTCTCTGTGTGTTTGCAGTGGCTGGAAACCAGGCCAAACAGACAGGTGTGTCCCGTTTGTAAAGCCGGCATCAGTCGAGATAAAGTGATCCCGCTGTACGGCAGAGGCAGCACCGGACAACAGGACCCCAGGTGCAGGATGATGTTTGAGCTTATAAACATGACTATAAATCATGCGAGAGCTGTAGATCGTCGTTAAATGACGTGGACCTCAGTGAGTCGGAAGAGCTTGCATAGAAGAGGAACTAAACATACATCAAATACAAATGTAACAAAGAGATATCCGACACAAATTCAAATAAAACGGATGGCAGTGTTTTGACCTTTAAACGTTCTCAGGCGCTTGATAAGATTCCTGTTAGCCGTGAATCTTAATCATTAAGATTAAGACAATCTTTGCTTTAAACACACTCGCGACCGCGACTTCAAAATAAAAGCTTTAAGCTATCACATAAAGTATCAAAAACTAATAATGTACATTTTCAATTAACAGGTGATGCGTGTATATATGTGTGTGCATTTATTTAATCAGAAATACAGAAAATAGAGTAAAAATTGTGAAATATTATTAGAATCTAAAACAGCTGTTTTCTATGTGAATATCTGTTAAACTGTAATTTATTTCTGTGATGCGCAGCTGTATTTTCAACATCATTACTCCAGTCTTCAGTGTCACATGATCTTCAGAAATCATTCTAATATGCTGATTTATTATCAGTGTTGGAAACATTTTGCTACTTAATTTTTTTTTTTGGAACTTTTGATTTTTTTACAGGATTCTTTGATGAATAAAGAGTTAAAAAGAACAGCATTTATTCAAAATAGAAATGTTTTGTAATCTTTTATTACACTTTTTCCGCTTAGTTTAGGGTTATTATAGTTAACTAATCCTGAAACTGAGATTAAAATTAAAAGATTAAGATTAAAATAAAAAAAAAGCACTTTTGTTGCTTGAAAGAAATAAAACTTTTTTTTTTTTTACTTTTTATTTCAGCTAGTTGCCATGGCAACATTTCACATTTTCATTTAGTTTTACTTGATGTACTAAAATAACTAAAACTGAAATAAATACTATACAGACATATATTTTAAATAAACACTAATAAAAATGACAAAAACACAAAAGAAAAATGTATAATTTTGACCCATACAATGTATTGTTGGCTATTGCTACAAATATACCCCAGCGACTTAACACTGCTTTTGTGCTCCAGGGTCTCTTTCTTTGTGATTTTCTGTCACATTTCTGAGTGGGAATTGTTTCTACACCAGATTTTTTATTGTTTTTGTAATATATATACTGTACCATCAAAGCTCATAGAAGCGTTTGCAATGCTACAAATGAGGTTTGTGATGAAACGGTTGCGTGGATGACGGCGCTTGCTGCAGTGCCAGCCTGAGGGTAATTCATTAGTCAAACGAGCGTCCCGCCGGGGCTTATTAATGCCGTCTCTGTGGATGACAACATCTGACCATTAATATTGCATCACATTCTGCTCTCGCTCAACTCCTGGAGGTCTTGCATAATGATTGTTTGTCATGAGAACGCTGGTTCTGTAGTGTACACTTCTAGTCAAAAGTGTCATGTGTTTTAAAGACGTCTCTTCAGCATTTATTTGATCAGAAATACAGTAAAAAATGTGAAATATTATTATAATCTAAATCAGCTGTTTTCTATGTGAATATCTGTTAAACTGTAATGTATTTCTGTGATGTGCAGCTGTATTTTCAGCATCATTACTCCAGTCTTCAGTGTCACATGATCTTCAGAAATCATTCTAATATGCTGATTTGCTGCTC